TTCATAAAATTAGCCACTGTCTTAAAATAATGATAATAATAAAACACTTGTTGAATTTTTTATTGATGAATGACTCGTGCATCTGAACAGTTGAAACAAAGAAGTGTACAAGTACACTTATTTTCCGTATGATTGATGGTCAAAGAGACATGCAAACAGTAGGACAAAAGACCTACCTGATATCCGCAAGAATGCCAAGATTAACTGGTCGTTTATGTTGTTGTTGTTGTGTTGGGTTTTAGTTTTCAGTCATCGAATAAGTAGACTTGGTCTTGTTTAGTCGTAGTTATATATCGTGGCATCATACATTATAAAGACTCGTTTTTATGGACAGGCTCTAAACTTACATTTTACAGAAGACTATATACTCTATTACAACTTAACAACAAGCTGCATAACAACATGATATAACAGCAGAATTTGATTATATAAATTTTTAGATATAAAGATGGCAAAATATTCATCTACTAATACAGTCACTGTTTCTGAAATTATAAAAGATTGTAACATTTTGGATAACTTCCTTGTTGCCTGATGAAATTAAGTATTAAACAGTAAAAATAAACGAGCGAGCATTATTTTATAAAGCAAATATAAAATGTGCATGGACTGGTTATTTTAGAACTAGATTAGATCTAAGTAGTTCTGTAGTTTTTATTTCGCCGTGATCGAGCATTAAAAGTGTAAAAATGTGAGAAATGAAGAATCCCTAAAGCAAGCCCAACAAGACAAAATTGAAAATGTTGCAGACTCGGTTAGATTGAGTCTGTTCATGAACGGTACTAAAAATGCAAGATACTGTCCAGGCCCCCCCCCCAGCACCGGCTTAAGCAGATTTTAACATTTTATTCTGGTAATGGTGAAATTTTGAATCTAGAAACATCCGCATATGTGTTCATAAGGCGGTTATCATTGGGACCCTTAATGTGACACGTAAGTGCCATTCTATGAAAAGCGACGTATGGTCCCCAAGTAAAAGAATGCGTGTGCTCTAATAGAGAAAACAATGAGCGGAACAAAAATAAAATGGAATTTTGAAAGGGGATCATAGGTTATGAAGCCTGCATATCACAAATATGACGTCAAAAGACAAACTTAAAAAGCATGTAACATATCCTTAGGATGATTCAACATTATTCAAGAAGGAACTATTGGAAGAATCAAACTAGAAAAATGCCGAACAGTAAAAACTAAAAGTAACACAAAGACAACAATAATGTCGTGCTGAACGATATCACTAGCGTGACGAATATGTTTCAGGATATAATGTCAGTTATGTTTAATTCCAGGAAGCGGATTCATGAAATATAAGATATAAGATTGTATTGATAATAATTATTATGCTCCTTTTAACCAACTTTAATAATTAATATAAACTACACACTCTATGAACATATGTTTGACAATATGTTTACACCGCCTCCGTGGTCGAGGGGTTAGAGTCGATGACTTCTAATCCAGTTACCTCTCTGGCGTGGGTTCGATCCCCGGGAGATGCTTTGGTAGTTAAGCACGGAGGAAGGTAGTCTAGTACTGGTGTAACTCTCCAGGAACAATGGTTAGGTAACTACCCGCCTATATGACTGAAATACTGTTTGGAAAAGGCGTAAAATTAAACGTTAATAATGTATCTTTCTTTAAAGTGTTTATACGGAGCCCCTAAGGTGACATTTTCGACACTTATTTCCCGGCATTTAATTCGTTTAAACGAAATAATAATTCGTAATTTCGAAATATTAATTCACTTTTTTCCCGGCATTTAATTCGTTTTTACGAAATATTACTTCGTATTTACGAAATATTAATTCGTTTGTACGAAATAATAATTCGTGTTTACGAAATATTTATTCCTAATTACAAAATATCTATTCGTAAATACGAATATTAATTCGTTTTTACGAAATAATTATTCGTTTTTTACGGAATATTAATTCGTTATTACGAATTATTAATTCGTAGTTACGAAATATGAATTCGTGTTTACAAAATAATAATTCGTTTTTACGAAATATTTATTCATAATTACGAAATATTAATTAGTTATAACGATATATTAATTCGTTTTTACGAAACATTAATTTGTAAGTCGTAATTACGAAATAATAATTATTTTTTACGAAATCTTATTTAAGGTAATTGTGAGTTTGACAAAAAATTATTAATCTCACAAAGGAGTCATGTACAAGCCTGGGTCAACCTTGCGACTATAAGAGTTATTATATTTAGGTATACAGGGGTTTTTAGTGAGAAGTCATTCTCAGTCCAAAATATTCTCTTTTTCCTTATTGTCAAATTCATGTTCCCATCATTTTTGAGGCGATTAATCTTTTCTGACATGTTTTTTTTTAAATGAAACATGCTATACATGTATAATTACTTTCTTTTATCATATACATAAGTAAAACTAAAAGGGGGAGGCTCCAGATTTTCACTAATATAATCAGCTGAATTAGTATATTTCCTAACAATTTATGTATATCATAAAAACATAATATTTTATTTCAAAACTCAATAATATCGACAAAACGAAACAGTAAAAATGTCCGTGTTTGGATTTGAAGCACAGGACCCACATTTTAACAAAACTTTCCTAGCGCGTTTACTGAAAGGGATGTGGCGGTAACGCTATTGACAGGCGATTATTTTAATTTATATACATTAGTGTTAAGTTATAAAACTTGGAGAGAAAAAAAAAACACTTTTTATATTGCATTTACATGCCTTGTATTTAGTCAGGAACATAGGTTTAATGCCTGCTTTATAAATATTACCAAAACTCTTTGAAACCCTAGAACATTTTATTCGTTTTTACAAAATATTATTTCGAACTTACGAATTATATATTTCGTAATTACGAAACAACATTTCCTTTTTACGAATTAATATTTCGTAATTACAAAATAATTTTTCATGAAAACGAATTAATATTTTGTAATTACGAATTGATATTTCGTAATTACGAATTAATGTTTCGTAAAAACGATATAATTTTTCGTAATTACGAAATAATATTTCGTAACTACGAATTAATATTTCGTAAAAACAAATTAATATTTCGTAAAATCGAATTTATATTTCGTCATTACGAATTATCATTTCGTGGAAACGAATGAAGTCCCTGGGAAATATTCGTATGCTTCGTATGTTTATGAATTTGTTTATTTATTATTATTTATTTGTTTAGTTATCATCACCAATTTAAAAAAGAATGGAATTTTATTGTTATTTATTTTAACTCTTAAAGTTGCAAACTACTTTTCATTTCAAATTATTTGAAAAAAATATCTTCGTAAAAAGAACACGTTTGATACATGTAGTACATTTGTAAATTTAAGGAACTTGTATTAACGATCATATTCCTTAAATAAGAGGAGCATAAAATAACAAGAACTACCGCCTAATTGATAAATGTGATACTGAGTATGTAAGATATTTAAGATGAACACGAATTAAAGTTTCATTTCTATTGACCCTCCGACAAATATTAGCAAATCTGTTCACATTTTCATCTTTTTTGATATCTATTGCATACCTCATTTACTTCAATATCATCTAGATCTTAATTTTACGCGGACAATTAACACAATAGCCTTATTGCACGGGTAGCATACTACCATAATTTTAATTTAGGTTTATAAGCTGACACAATTTCATTTAGTTTGTTCTTTGTAATATCTTGATAATAATAGTAATAAGGTCTACTAGCTATATTTTTAGATTAGTCATTCGCAATTTGTATTTTTTTCTTATTTCATTATTTCCATCTACATCTCATTTACATTTACATCTCGTGATAACACATACTATCTCAACCCTTATAGTTAAAATGAATGCAGTCTTATCGATAGCAGGAATGGAAGATATTCATCTTTAAAAAAAAACAGAAAAGTCAAGTGCAATGATAAATAAATATTTCAATATTAAGACTTGGTATTGATAATATGTTTTTATGTTTAAAACTTTCAAATGTATGTGAATGCATTGCAAAATTGTCCATGGTCTCTAGAAAGATTTGTACAGACTATCTTGAAAGAAATGCACGGGAAGTAAAAGCCAATTTCCTTCACTTATTTTTTATTCTTTTATACATGTATTACTGTGCAATCAACAAATAAAAAAGGAAATCTGAATATAGTCGGAATATGTAATGGATAGAGATTTTTGTAATCGGAAAGCCTTATGGTTCCCAGACAATATCTTCAGTGGACCCGCACAAACACTAAAGCACTGAAATACTGAATTTGATGAATATCCTTCCTTTGATGTAAGCCATCTGAAACCAAACCGGTTCCGTCATGTCCTGATAAAATAGGGATTGAAGAGAGGCACCTTTGTGAAGTTTTATGATAACATCTAACACCGTTGTTTATATCATTCCACATTCAGTCAATAACGTTCTTTCCAAACGAACAAATTTATTATTAAAATGAGAAAACTTCAATAATGCTTTATAATGTAACTGAATATTGTTGATATTGTAACTTTGTAACGATTTCAACATTACTCGTCATGCCCTGATAAAGCACGGATTAATGAGAAGCACTTTGGCGAAGTTTTGTAATAACATCTAACACCGTTTTCTATATCATACCCCGTTATGTCAATAACGTTCTTTTCAAACAAACAAATTCGTAAAATAAATATAAGTCTTTAATAATGCTTAAGAATGTAACTGAATATTGTTGATATTGTAACTTTGTAACGATTTCAACATTACATATCATCACAAATATGTTATTGAAATATCAAATTTGTTTAACTTATATCTAAATGTAAGGTATAAGTTATAGCAAACAATCCTATTAAAATTTGAGACAGATACTTAAACTTAGACAAAACAATATCCAGTTGCAAAATGTTTAAGTTATTAAATTGGTACCTTTTGTTACAGTAAATGATTTTGCCAAACTGGGTTTGAAAGAACAAACAAATGAATACAAAAATCTGACATCAGCTAAAATTCATTTGTATCATGTTCTTTAAACCGTTTAGTCATTCAATTAAAATGTTTCATATGACTCTGATTTGACAAAGCATTTTTATATTCTCATATCTGCTGATTTGTTCGAAATTATCTAACCTGATCAAAACTGAGACTGTTTAGATAAATTATAATAGCGATGATAAACATTTTGACAAAGTTGTTGAGCGTTGCCGATATGATAACGTGTTTGATAATTTTAAAGTTGATATTAACCTGCTCCTCGGAGCCACATTGCTCCAAATTTCATTATGAGGAAAAACTACTGGAAAAAATGATCAGGACAGAAATTCTTGTTGAAAACATGAAAAAACAAATAGATGACATAGAAACTAGAGTTACTGGGACATTAGCCAAACTTAACGAAGATACAGTCAAATGGAAAGGTGAAATAGAAGCAATGCAAGATAACAGCAATACAAGTCTTCAACTGCTCCAGGAGAAAGCAAAAAGTGATCTTGACAAAAACATGCAAGAAGTGCAAGACCTGAAAGGTAATCTGTTTTACTTGTGTGAAAAAGGTTTGATAAATGTTGTTAAGGATATTAAAATGATACAAACCTGCTTTGTTACTTTCACTCATTGAAAAGAACAGAGAAACGAGAATTCTGGAAAAAGACGTTCAAATAAGATGAGTTGATGAACAAAACAATTGTTCAAGGTCTAAATTAAATGTACAAGTATATGTTGACATAGACTTATTTAACACTGTCTTTTGAGACCGGAAAACTTAAAATCAGAGACATTTGATAAGTATAAAGGCGGTTATTTAATACAAATTAAGAATATCATTGCCGTTCTTCTTTGTTCGCTGTTCATCACGTTCGTTGTTATGTTACAAATGACATTTGAAAGGTTAACGACAATGATAAGCATTTTGCAAGCGGTCATATTGATTTTTTGTAAATTATAACGTCACGGTGGAAAACATCATCTTACGAAACAAAAATTTAGATTGTGCACACTGTCGACAGAAGAGTGCATGTTCAAGAAAATTGTGATATTTCCTGAAATCAATCGATTTTTACGGCATCACTGATCTAACTTATAGTAATATTATAACGTTATAAGATCATTAAAAAACATGTTACGATATAGAAATACCATCATTTTATTTTATGGTAAAAAAAACTATCTGCGAATTTATCAAAGCGTATTTAACAATTATATCTTTACATCTGGTACTATATGATTGAACATATGTCGTCAATTCGAAACCGTATGAAATCAAAGAACAGTACACAAAATTGATGAAACATTAAGAATAGTCGTATATTATTTTGAGATGAATAGGGTTAAATATCTTCAACGTGAGAATATTTTTGTATTGCATCTAAGGAAAGTGTCATATTGAATTACAATTTTAGTAATGTTATGACTTTCATTTCAGCAAAAGTTGTATCGCCAAAAATTGCTTTTAATGCAAGAAACATAAAGAACAGAAAACCAGGTGCTGGCGACACCATTATATTCACTGACATTCTCCTTAACCTTGGTGACAGTTACAACACTGATACTGGAGTATTTACTGTTCCACTTGGAGGCATTTATCTGTTTACTGTTCAGTTATGTATTTATACTAGTTCATATATTGATTTTGGATTAGTGGCTGATAATGTTTATATGGATGAGGCAAGGTACAGAGATGATTCAGGTCATATTTGTTGCTATAAGTTAACCACAACTGTCCATATCAAGTCTGGAACCAAAGTTTGGGTGAAGGTCATATATCGCACGGAAAGTGGGGACACTTTGTATCACAATGACGCACACTACTGGACATCATTCTCCGGAGTTCTTATTCACATAGATTAACAGATAACATACAACATAATTTTAAGCTAAAAAAAATAAGTATAGATCATTATCTTGGTCTCTACAATCGCCATGATTTTGTTGTGTTGAGAATAATATGAAAATGTTAGAATGAAGAATGTTTGTTAATATCCATAAAAAAGACTTTCGCATGAAATCAGTCATCCTTGTATTATTTTGCAAACTCGAGATTTTGTCGAACACGGAAAAACATATTTTTATGGTTTAAATGACATAAATACTATTTATTGAAAAATGAACCACACAATCAGTGATAATTAACATTGTGATTGTAACAGTATTGAAATTTTAAACATTATACTCATAATAGCGCAATATCCTTAAATTGCGAAAACACGCTAATTGGCGGAGGCGCTAATAAGCGTGTTGGCGCTCTGCTGTTTAAATAAAAAAAACTCGTCCCGCGCCCCGCCTGGCAAAGTTTTATTTATTAAACTTGCCCTTCGCCCCGCTAATTAGCGTGTTTTCGCGCCGCGCCCCCGCCATTTTAGCTTGTTTATTATCGACTTTTTGCTTGGCAGGGTCTTGTGGCGAAAACACGAATGGCACAAATCAACCGCCAAAGGATATACATTAATCAAGCATATCACGATCAAATCTGCCATGCATAGTCCAGGACGATTCAAACCGAAACAATTACTCGAACAGGTTCGATCGTATATTTGTCTTAGGAATACTGGCCGCCTACATAAAACCCTTTTATTTTATTAATATTTTTCTGTAAGTATAATTACCAGTATTTATTTGAAAAGGATATAAAAGGTTTGTCATGATAATAGTATCTGCAATGAAAATTTGCAAAAATCAAAATAAATTTTCATCTTTATTGATGTTCTTGCTTTTAAATACATGTTACTGTCTATTAATTTTGTTAAGGAAATTATCAAAAGAATAATTCCAGACATTGCAGTCATTTGTTCCTAAAAACCACGTGCTTCGGATGGTGAAAGAGAAAATCATAAATTACTGCTTTAATATAAGCATTATAAAACTTTGAATATGACATGAACTTAAACATGATATTCACAAACAATGTAAAACATGTATTCAAAGTTTATAAGTTTTTTAACTAAACTTTTTGATGGAAATGAATTCAAAACAGATTATAAAAAAGAAAAACACCTGACTTGTAATGGGGGATAACTAGAATAAATATGAACATATTGACATGCCAGGCTTGTCTTCCTTCTAAGAAATACGATATTTCGTATATGTGAAATAATCTGTTCTCGCATATTGCTATTATATTGTGTTTGCTTTTGTATTTATATATTTCCGGTGTCGTGTCTGGGGCCTGTAGACGATAGCAAAAGCAACATGTTGCTCCTTAACAAGGCGGATGGACCCTCTTATAAGCCAAATAGATTTAGAAAACTGTCTCCCTTATCGGGTATGCTACCTTATTAGAATGTTCATTCGAACAAGAGGTAGTTTTTGGTATCGTCTACGGACCCCTGACATGACACCAGAAATGCTCTTTATAGTTTGTATTGAAAGACAGTATGACTGTAATTAACTCTACGCAATATATCTTTTGTATCTTGTATACTTTATAATTTGATAGTCAATTTCTAGTTTTTGCAGAGTAAATACAAATTCGATGTGGTTTTTATATAAATGAGGTCTGTTACATACATTTTATGTCATCCTATGAGATAAATGTAAATATCAGCATATCTCCATATATTTATTCGATTATAACAAATGATATTTGCTTAGATGTTATGATTTGTAATTTATTGTACATATGCCATGCCCTGTTTTTGTTCGTTTTGTAAATATATTTTGCTCTTCAATATTGGAGGAATAAAAAAGTATCTATATCTATCTACCTTAACAAAACAACCACCTAGACAATAATGATATAGTGAGGTAGGTTATGAACTGCCTTTCCATCCATCTCTCCAGTCTAAGATCTTGCGGGGATCTTTAATTTTGGTTTTATCATTTCTATCATCAACATCATTATTATTATTATCATTATTATTATTATTATTATTATCATTATTATTATTATTATTATAATTATTATTATTATTATTATTATTATTATTATTATTATTATTATTAGTATCATTATTATTATTATTATTATTATTATTATTATTATTATTATTATTATTATTATTATTATTATGGCATTTTTGCATAAGAAAATTTTGGTATGTATAACGTATAGCGCATGTATGAATGAAATATCATGATTAATATTATGGTATATGTATTATTCAAAAGATTGTCAATATGTGTTTACATTGATAATTCTTGAATATTCATAATATAATGCTCAGGACAAATGTCAGTCAATTCTTCTATCTTTGTACGTACATATGTTGTGTTTATGATAAGCTTTTGTCAAGATATAACCGCTAAGGCAAATTGTAAAATATCGATATGAATTTGCTTTCAATTTTCGATATATACTCATAAATGAAATATTTAGAACCATCCATTTTCCATAATTTCACTGTAAAAATATTGTTCACTGCAATGAAACATATTTATCTTTCACTGCAGAGAAACATATTTTCCGCATATTTTCACTGGTGTCTTGCCGGACTACTGTTATTGCAAGTACACTAAGGAGAAGCCTTTGCAATCAGATGTTAAAATGAGAAAATTGTATAAAATGAACAGAAATTTCAAATTTATTCTATAAATACAGGATTTATTTTCCTCTTGTGGTATGAAAATTGCAATATTTCACTCGTGGCTACCGTAACTCTTGGAATATTTACTTTCATACCACGTGATGAAAACAAAATCCTGTACTTATAGAAAAAAACTTGATTATCCTCTATGTATTTAACTGAAATTTATCCTCTGAAATAGGACATACATATCTCCTGGCATGGTCCAATGCTAACTTTAGAGTAGCTAAGATCAGGGTGTAATGAGGCATGATGCTTTAAATTGAAATTGAATTAAATTTGATATCTGCTATATAAAAAATTTAATGATATTGTATTAGACTAACATTCTTTGGTACGTATTCAAAATATATTTTTAAAATAGTTAGACGAAAGAAGCTCCTTTAGAATAAATTTTGGGAATAGCAATACAATAATAATACTAAAGTGTTATAATTATACAAGAAACATGTTAAAATAAGGAACGTTCGGTATAACAATTTTTACATTTTGAAGCACATATCTTAAGTAACAGAGAACCTTTTTAAATTTCACAGTTTTATTTCATTTAAGGTCTGCTTTTGACTAAACACAATAAGCATAAACTGTGAATGAATTTAAAAATATGATTGTCAATCCAGATCGTGAACGTATGTAACACTCCATTAAAGTGAAATTATGCCCATCTATGTGTAAATGGTTATTGTAATGGGAAAAGTCAAGTTGACATTAAATTTTGCCATAAATGTTTTAAATTTTAAATCTTACTGTGTAAAATTAATCAATAATACACGAGACTCTCTAAAATTTCTAAAAACCATCGTTCTGAATGTTCGACTAAAAGAGCATGGCATTCTTTTGTTATTTACTTACATAGTTTTCATATTTCATCCAACTCTTTTTTCATTACCAACAACTGGTCATTCGACATTATAAGAGTCAATCTTTTGAAATAAACAACCAATTTGACTCGACTTGACGATATAAAAATGAGCATAATTTCCCATTAACGTGAGAAACGTTAGTCCATTTAAGGCTATTCATCATCGGTACATTCCAGCCTCATCATTGTTGTATGATACATGTATCCATAACATTAACTCCCTTACACTAAACATACATATCTACAATAAAGGCAAGGATATCATTTTGCACGCATTTTGACAATTTTATGTTAAAAAAAACATTTTTCACCCATCTACAAATATAACACATAGATACAAGCGAAGAATAGTATTTGTAACAAAGACAAACATGTGTGATGAATTGTTTTCTAATGAAAGCAATGTCAAATTTTGAATTATAGTTATACTTGACCAACAGAAAAAAAATGGAAATGGAGAAAAAGGAACAACTTTTGACATTTTTCTAATTCTTCCTGTAAATAGTGTTCAGTAAAATTATCACTGATTTAATACATTACTCCATTCAAATGCACATACTGTGAATTGAATTAGAGTACTTAAATGCACTTGTCTTGTACTTTTTAAATATTCTGGCAGAAAATAAATAATCTATCAAATTGTGGCATATGCAAATTTTCTAATTAATACAACAGATATCACATTAATTGAGATATTGCACTTCCGGTGAATAATCGAATGCACATCCGATGAGTTATCAATTCAATAACTTCCGGTTAGTTATTAAATGAACTTCCGGCACTGCGTTGTTTTTTCAGCCTTAATCATTCAAAATAAATGTAAACACTCAGAAAACTATTGTAGTTATTGATGATCAACCTCGTGACTTGAAAGATATCGTGTATATAAATGAAGAATTGAACTGTGTTCCAGTTACTTGTACATTGTTTTAAACCAAATACTGAATGGAAATTGATAGTGAATTGTTGTTGATGTGACTTTATTTGGGAATCATTGTTAGTCAAACATATAATAACTATGGAAATATATAAAATAAGATTTCTATGGAACCACATTTTATTCCTTACATTTCACTGTATAACGACCACAAATACGTTTGTGACAATGCCATGTATGTATATGAAACATTCACAAAATGTGAATGAAACTTGTGCAGAAATATCTTTTGTGAAAACTAAATGTAACGTTTTAAATTGTGCGAACATGTGCGCATTGAGTACAGGATGTTTCTCGTTTTACTACTCGGATATCACCAAACGTTGTATAGGATGTTTAATGCAGTATACGTTACTACATTCTACAGATAGCTACACTTATTATATACCGGTCAAAGGTAAATACTCTTATATAATTATTGAAATTTTACCTTGTTATCTTACTTTGTCACATTAAGATTCATTTTAAATCCGCAGGGAGAGGGTAATAGCTAGTCTGAAGGTTCCTGTAGCCGATAATGCACGTAGAAACTGGCATTATTACTGTTCTTGAATTAAAATATACGTCTCATTCGGTATATCAGGATTTCGATGTTCGTTGTTAGTATTTTTTAGGGAATCGGTTTTGTAATTCTTTTCACGCGCGAGAGTTAAGTCTTTTGACAGTTTTATTTTAAACTCACACTCATTTTAACATCTTGGAACAACATCGGGTACACCATTTTTATTTTCAACATGTAATGCAAAATGTAAACAATGGTAAAATGTATAAGTTTTATCTTATTTCAACGTCAGTTAACCATCGGCAGTAATTTATTGTAATATTCTTAAATAAATTAAACCAAATATTTGTGTGCACAATTGTTTTCTTGTAAATTATTAGCTAGCAACTAAATCAATTTCTACTTTCGTTTTGTAATTGGTACCATATTTCGCAATTAACAACATAAATAACATTTTCTATTGAAACATTAAATTATTCATAAGAAAGTAATACATTTTAAAATCTAAAATTGTTTAAGTTAACTTCAGTAAATTTAAGTGCTATTTAAATATAAAATAAAATTTTTAATCGAAATAGATTATTTTAAATACATTGTATATTGTACATGTTATGTTATTATTATTTTTTTTTTTTGTAATTCTCAATATTTTATTTAAATTTCAAATTTGTCATTAAACTTGTTGTTAAATTGTGTCATTGGTCACCTTTAAAAATCACAGTTAAATGGTTGTTCATCATGGCAAAAAAAATCTTAGCATGCATTCGGTAACAGTAATTTTCTGGTAATTGGTAAAATTCTTACTTACATTTCCCATCATAAGCCCTTGATATTATAGCTTTTCCTTACGTAAAGACCTCTCCTATTTCCAATATGCATTGCCCTCCCTTGATGTACCTATCTCTATTTGGATAAAATAGCATATATATTTATGTTTATATTATGGTAATGTGTTTAAAAGCCAGCTTGGAACAGATATTTTTAGAAACCTTGAACATGTATAGTTTGTCAGTGGTACTGGTAAGTTAAGGTAGTTTAAAGTGTAGTCTTCAACTAATCATGCTGAAAGTACATTTAGTAAAAGTGCCTTTAATGGTAAAAAAACTATATTGCTTCTCTTAACATCAAAACAAATCGTTAATTTTTCTCTTCTGTTAAATTAAATGTAACTCATGTAAAATCTATATGCCTTAAAAAATATAACTTTCTATATATTTGTTTACAGATCAATCAATATATTATATACACTTTTAATATATGCACTGCTGTAACTTTATGCTGTTAGTGTATATTTAAAAAAGTACACTTTACTTAGCACATTCAAATTTATAAAAAAATAACTGTTGCTGTATATTTTAAACATCACGTTCAAATAATAATATCTAAAGTAACATACCTTTGGTAAATTACTTTAGTAACTATATATACAAACAATTTATTCCAGCTGTCGCGAATTTAGCGATATTTTTTACATTTCTATTTATTTTTTGTGCCTATAATTTAGTTCAGTTGTATAGTTTCACCGTCGGCTTCATTGCATGAGTTATTCTTTGCTTCTACTGAAGTTGTATTCACGTAAACAAAAGTTCTATTGTTAAAGTTTCCCGACGGTGCCACTGTTCACGATATTTTCTAGAGCCTCACTCAAATATCTTAATCCCTATTGTTCTGCCTCCCCGACGGCGACGCATTTCCACGTAATTTTGTATTATACTCTTGTTCTATTGTTCTATTTGTGCTATATAAATAAACGAAACTTTGGAGAAAATGTGTATTGATAAAAAGTGAATTGTATAGGTCTACGTAATATGTAAGTTTGTGTTGGATATATCTTGTGAGTAAAAAATAAAATGCTATTATTTATTTGAAATAAGTTAAAAATTGGAAGTAAAATAAACTAAGCAAATTACTATCAAAAAGGTGTGTTTGTTCATTGTCTGAATAATTAAACTAAAAGGGATAAAAAGGATGTTCACGACATTGATTGGCGCCGGAACCCGGGAAAAAACAAAGATGGCTTCAATTCCGTATGTAAAAGGCGTGCGAACTAGATACAAGAACAGACTCACGGAAGATGTTCAGAAAGGTAAACATTTCATTCAATATAGCATATGGATAAGGATGATCCATTGTTTTCCATTGAAACAGTCATTAATAAAATACAAAGTTATATAGAAAAGCTTGAAATGCAAACAGCGAAGTTAGCTGAGGTTTTATCCGAGAATGATCCGGAGAACTCAGAACAATTACTAGCTATTGCAGAGGAAGATACAGATTAAATTTCTGAAGCCTCAGATTTGCAATTTCGCTTTGAAAGTCTGAGGGAAAAATTTATGTCTGAAACAAATCAAACGTGCACGCACCGTCTCCCGGTTATAAAGAGATGATTGATATGCAACACGAATTTCAGAATATTGTTGTAAATCAAATCAAGCAACAGAATGAGCAAATGTCAAGGCAACATGAGTATTTTGATAGACAAGAGAAGAAAGAGTTAGAGAAAACCATGACTGCGAAATTGCCTAAACTGGATGTGATTCCATTTAACGGTGACAAATTGAAATGGTGAGACTTTTGGGACATATTCAATACATCTGTGAACACTAGTAAGAACATACCAGATGTCCAGAAATTCAACTATTTACGTGGTAAATTATACGGAGAAGCAAGATATGCTATATCCGGTTTAGAAGTATCAGGTGCTAATAACCACGTAGCTATCAAATTATTATGTGATCGGTTCGGCAATACACAAGAAGTGGTTGATTTACACTGTAGAAAGTTGATCAATATACAAAGTGCATCTAACATTGTCCAAAGTTTACGATATTTCATTGATACGGTAAAGAAACTTCTTAGTAGTTTAGAGGTACTACACAAAGATATCACTCAAGAGGTTTTTATCTCTATGATTCGGGAAAAACTACCGGAACCTGTCTTACTACAGATTGAACTATGTAATACTGACGACAACTCTTGGACATTAAATGCATTTCGTCAAAAATTGAATGCATATATTGTTGCAAGAGAAAGAAGTGAGAAAAAGAATAGCATGGACAAAAATAAAATTAAACCGACCACCGGTGGTACACAAGGAAACCCCAATACTGAGTTTAAGAAACAAGCTCATGTACGTTTGGTCCCAAGAGAATGTCCCAAATTGAAAGAAGCCAAGTAACTTAAGGCGAAACCCTCGTTTCAAATTATGTGCAGAGGAGACCCACAAACAACAACTCCAAAAAAGACTATTCTATACTTTGTAGATATTGTGAAAAACAACATTGGAGTGACGAATATCTAAAGTAAAGAACAATTGAAGAAAGAAAAAAAGTGTTAAAAGGTAGCAGTTACATCTGTCTAAAACTTGGACATAAATCCTGTTATTGTAAAAAAGGTAAGCTGTGCACACATTGTGGTGAAAGAAATAATCACCATAGAAGTATATGTCCAGCAAAGTTTAATAACTCAAATACAAGCTCACATCTATCAGGTGAAGTGGCTGATGATACAACAAATGATGTCGGTGCTTGTGGAACTGTTAAAGACATACAGAGTCCTACTACAGAAAATGGATTAGCCTCTTTTTCGGAAATGATATTGATGCAAACAGTTAAAACAAAGGTATATAATCCACAGAAGAGGAAGAAATAAGAATTCTGCTCGATTCAGGTTCACAAAGATCTTATGTATCCGATTCATTAGCAAAGCGGCTCGACATGAAATCAGAGGGTAGTAAAAACATTAATGTTATGACTTTTGGTTCTGACAAGTCAAAAAAAATGTCAAGACAAAGAAATCATAAATGCAGATCAAGATAAAGAGTGGTGAAAAAATTGATGTTTCTGTGAATATACTACCTGTTATCAGTGGCACAATTCATAGAAAACCTGTTACGCATCTCTATGAAAATGCCAGTGAGATTCTCAACACCATTGCACTGGCTGATACAATAACAAAACAGCATGAAACGTGCGAAATTGAAATGTTATTAGGTAATGATTATTACCCAGACATTGCACTGTGTCAGAAACTCGAAATACAACCCGGTCTTTATATACTAAGTTCAAGATTTGGTTGGATACTAACGGGACGTGTAAAGAAAGATGAACAAGAAAATCAAGACATGAACATGTTGATTCTGACTCATGGAGATAACCTGACCAAATGTAATTCATTTGCCAGTATTGATAAAGAGTTACCTATCACTCCAAACTTGGAGGATTTCTGGAAAATGGAATTCATAGGAATCATGGACAATCCAGACCTGTCAAATGATGAAAAGGCTATGACAATATTCAGAGATACAATTTCATTTTCTGAAGGCCGCTATCAAGTTAAATGGCCATGGAAATATGACGTACCAGATCTCCTTGTAAACAGAAAATTAGCATATGGTCGACTTAATTCTGTTGTCACCAAACTGCAGAAGAAACCTGAGCTGATGTTCAAGTTTAATGAGGTTATACAAGATCAACTGAAAAAAAGGGATAATTGAACAAGTTAATGTGGGGTCGAAGCATTTGGGTCCTGTCCACTACATCCCTCATCATGCAGTTTTGACACCAACAAAATCAACAACAATGCTGCGTATTGTTTATGATGCATCTGCAAAATCAAAGCAAAGCCATGAAAGTTTAAATGAGAACCTTTACAGAGGCCTGGTGATGTTATATGACCTATGTGGTATACTGATGTGGTTCCGATTACATAAGATTTGTATTGTGGCTGATATAGAGAAGGCCTTCCTTCAGATTGGCCTTCAGCCAAGTTAAAGAGATGTAACACGTTTTTGGACGTTACTGTACCGTTCCAGTACCGTTCATGAACAGGCTCAATCAAACCGAGCCTGCAACATTCTCAATTTTGCCGTGTTGGGCTTTCTTTAGGGATTCTGT